AGGTGGGAGGATTGCTAGAGACCAGTAGTTTGAGTACAACCTGGGCAATATAGCAAGACCCTGTCTCTACTCAAAAATTTAAAAATTAGCCAGGCATGGTGGCGTGTGCCTGTATTCCCAGCTATTCCGGAGGCTGAGGTGGGAGGATTGCCTGAGCCCGAGAGGTTGAGCTGAAGTGAGCCATCATCACACCACTCTCTCCAACCTGAGAAACAGAATGAGACCCTGTCAAAAAAATAAATAAATAAAACAAAGAATGTTATGAATTTAGTATTTTTATACTTCTTCTACAGCTCTAGTACCTCTGAAGAAAAGCCTCAAGCAGAAATACGATTTGCTTTGGGGTTTTATCTTTTACCAGAGATAAATGTGGATTGAGAATAGAAATCTCAAAATGTAATGATAGTCTTTATATTTCAGTAGCACATAATATATAAAACACTAGTATACATTATTTAAATTTGACCAATATGCAAGAGGAAAACAACATAGGGCAGAACTGTAAATTTGTTTCATAAAATAACTATTAACATTTCATTCTGTTCACCTATGTACTGGTAGCATTTGTGAACAATTCCCTCTTATTTTTTTTTCCAAAATACTGTTGCAGAATAGACTTGCCTCTATTTTCCTGTTTGCAGCCTATCTCATTAAATTTGTGCAATTCTAAATTAGAATAGTATCCAATAGACCACATGTGAAACATGCTTGCTATTGACTCAGACATTTTATGACATATTCATTAGTCAAATCCTTAGTGTTTATTTATGCAGTCACATTACTCTGTCCAGTAATTAACAGAAATGAATATTACCTCTAACATAGTTTTTTTAGCAAAAGAAATAATTTACAGTAAGTATTTATAATTATGTCAGCTCAATGTTTACAGCGCTTGAATGGCAATAGGTATAGTTTCTGTCATGTAGATTTCATAGTTAATTTCTGTACAGAAATGCTTTGCTGTTGATGCTTTGGTCGCTCCACACACGTATCACAGATTACCGAAACAACCACTTGTCCTTCAGCTGCAACGAATAAAGACTCTTCTTTATCCTTAATCTTCTGACTGCCTCTCTAGCCATTTTATGTCCTTACACAGATGTGAATCCTAAGTAATGGTTTCATATGAAAAATACTGGCACATAAAACTGTTACATTTTGCCCATGAGTTGTAAATTCAACTTAGTGCCCTAACAATAATAATGATAGCGACAGTGACTGTATCATCAATATTTATAGGGTGCTTCTAGTGTACTGAGCTCTGTGGTAAACATTTTCCTTATGTAGTTTAGTGAACTCCCATAATCCTGTGAGGTAGGTGTTATTGGCCCGTTTTACAGATGAATTTGTAATCATCATGCCTTTACAACATTTAATAATAATATTCTCTATTAATAGTATATTTCAGATGTCTAGCTCTGAAACTTTGCAGTATGAAACGTGTGTGTATATGTGATATATATAAAATATATATAAATGTATATATATAATACATATGTGTGTGTGTGTGTGTATACACACATTTCTTTTTTTGTTGTTACTTCAACCAATATATTTATTAACAGTTTATGTGCCAGGCTGCTGTACTAAACTCTGGGTACTGTGATGAGGGGATACCTCTTTCTTTCCTTCAAGGGACTTACGTTGTAGTGGGAAAGATGGATTTGCTTAAGAAACAAGTACAAAAAAATATAATAATGGCTTTAATAGGGTTAGGTACAAAGGTTATAGAAAAATGAGACCAAAGGACCCTAGCTTCCCAGAAGGCGTCAGGGAGGTCTTCACAGAAAGGCAGCCCCAGCCCTGAAACTTGAAGACTGAGTGAATTTGAAAAGCTGATGCTTGGAGGGAATAGAAGAGAGAAGGGTGTGGAGGTGAGGGAAACAAGGCCGGCTCAGGGAGCTACGGGGAGGGACCCCATCGGTGCTAAGGGTCAAGTGCAGCGGGAGGAGAGACACGGATGGCTGGGGTTAGAGCGCAGGGAGCCTGTTATCCAAAAGAATGGAGATGTCATACTCTGTGTGCTGGAAAACGATCTACAGATTAATCCAATAAACACTAAATCATTATGATTAAGGGATGACCTTCCCTTCTTCCTACCTTCTTCCCTCCCTTAGGCTTTCTCTCCTTCTTGGGCTCATTTATTCACTCAACAGATTTTATTGAGCGCCCGTAACGTGTACAACACCCCATTGAATCCCAAAGATGAAGGGTGGGTGAGAGTGGACACAGTTCTTCCCTTCTGGAGTTTATTGATTTGTGGAGGAAAACGAGCATTCATCAATGAGTCAATCAAAAAATGTAAAATTATAAAGATGACTGCTATAACCAGGGAGGGTGAGTCTATGCAAGTATGTCATAGGAGGTAGTGACCTGGCTGGGGAAGTCAGGAAGGCTCCCTTGAGGAGAAGAGGACTGAGCTGAGAGCTGAAGGAGAGAATACAAGGTCGTTTGATAGAAGGAGTGGGTGATTTGAGAAGTCATGTGCAAAGGAAGAAGTCATGTGCAAAGGCTGTAAGGCCTGGGAAAGCAAGGTCCTTTTAAGGAATTGAAAGTAAGCCAGCCAGGTGTAGTGCAACTTGGAAAAGAATGCAGGGGCTGGATTACACCAGGGTTTGGGGGCCATGTGTAGAAATGGAAAGCTGCTGATGTGTTTAGGCAGGAGCCAAGGAGCAGTGGGGTGGCAGGGGGGAAGTGGGGAGACATGTTAGGGGAGCAGGGGAAGAGTCCAGATGAGCCAGGGTGGTGCAGGGGAGGAGCAGAGGGAGTTGAGGCATATGACTGGATGGCTGAATATGGGGCATAATTTGGAAGAGGAAGACGTCAGAGTGATGTTGATGCCACCACTGAGCTAGGGAACAGAAGTAGAAGCCATTCTGCTTGGATTTTCAGAAAACATTAGTGGATAGATGGGGCAAACATCACAATGGAATTGAAGCTCAAGGTTGGCCTTGAAAACTGAGTAGGAATTTTCTTTTCTTTTCTTTTCTTTTTTTTTGAGACAAAGTTTTTTTGTTACAATGGCACGATCTCAGCTCACTGCAATCTCCGCCTCCCGGGTTTAAGCCATTCTCCTGCCTCAGCCCCCTGAGTAGCTGGGATTACAGTCACCTGCCACCATGCCTGGCTATTTTTTGTATTATTATGATTTTTTTAAAGTAGAGAACGAGGTTTCGCCATATTGACTAGGCTGCTGTCAAACTCCTGATCTCAGGTGATCAGGAGTTGGCCTCCCAAAGTGCTGGGATTACAGGTGTGAGCCACATTCCTTGGCGGAAAAATAGGTAGGAATTTTCTAGATGGCAAGGAGGGGAAAGGCATGTTAATCAAAGTGAGTGTTATATGCAAAGGCAGAGGCATAATCAAAATAGTGCAAGAAAATCTCTACACATATACAAAAGAGTTATTGGGGCATCCATAAATAATTTTGTTGATTTCTTGATATGCTCATATCCATGTTGTGTCGCAGTGATTATGAGATCTGTATTAGTATGTAGAGTTTGTAAATAGGTAAGCATGTTTAAGTATTTTTTAAGACATGGCTGTACTATATATAGAAATTCCTCTCTTCATTTTTATATCTTTACTTTGGAATTCACACAGGCCTTTTCATTTTGTTATCTGACTTGTTTCTAATGAAATTTAGCTGCTTAGGCAAGACGTGGATTTTAGGTTTCTGCTTAGTGTTTTGGCATCTGGATTTGGGATTACTTAGCATTTTTAATTTACTAAAATAACCATCAACTTACATGCAATTGAAATGTGAACATGTTGGTTTCCGGTGAGCTTGGGAATTAAAATGAAAGTACAATCAAATAAAAAAATCAGAAATTTTAAGACTTAGGTGACATATCACTCTTGGGGAAATGAGGTGATATTGATTTGATCTTTTTTTTTTTTTTTTTTTTTTTTTTGAGACGGAGTCTTGCTCTGTCACCACGCTACAGTGCAGTGCTACAATCTTGGCTCACTGCAACCTCTGCCTCCTGGGTTCAGGCAATTCTCCTGCCTCAGCCTCCCGAGTAGCTGGGATTACAGGCATGCGCCACCATGCCCAGCTAATTTTTGTATTTTTAATAGAGACAGGGTTTCACCATGTTGGCCAGGATGGTCTCGATCTCCTGACCTTGTGATCCACCCACCTCAGCCTCCCAAAGTACTGGGATTACAAGTGTGCACCACTGCTCCCTGCCATGATACTTTTTAATACTAACTACAGAAGTGTTGATAGCAAGATTAGCTTTGAAGACATGGGACAGCACTAGAATCCTAAGCGTGGCCTCTGTGAACTGTTGTCTCAAACTGGCTTTAACATCTGTTGGCTGTGTTTACTCTCAGTTTTCTTGTCAATAATGCAGAGCTAATAGTGATTCCTAGCCACCTCACAGACTGCAATGGGGTAGGGCAGTGTGCTTAAAGCCCTTAGCACAGGGCCCAGCGCATAGTAAATATTCATCAGTGTTCATGATGACCTGGGCCATCGCTGACATCATGTCTTCACTGAGTTATCAACAAAGAGGCATGTGTAGTTTCAAAAGTGAAAGGCCAGAATGGTAAATATATGCACAGAATTTGCCTAATTTTGTGACTAGAAGGAATCTTAGAGAAAGAGAGCATCAAATTCGCAAGGTTTCTGACATTTTCTTTGAAGAACTAAATGCTTTTTATTTCTTTGAAATCTTAGAATCATTAAGCAGGGAAGGAGGGGAAAGAACAGGATTATTTTGATAATGATGTCCCTAAGGTGAGGAGATGGGAGAGAAGCAACCCCTGGCCAGAGCCCACTCATCCCTTGGGATGGGGACCTGCTGTGTCTCTGCCTGCTGAGTTTTTGACATTCTGATTGAAAAACTGCGTGTGTGTGTGTGTGTGTGTGTGTGTGTGTGTGTGTGTGTGTGTTTATGCAATATAATGTTTCCCGTTTCTGTGACTTCAGTAAATGTGAATGAAGACCACAGAAGCTGCCTAACTCAGTGAGAATGTTGTTTTTATAATTACAGGTCTAGACATTTTTCATTGAGATTCTCCACTGCCACCCTTTCTACTCAAGCAAAATCTTCGTGAAAAGATCCGCTACAAGGAACAGCTGATAGCTTACGGTTCTTCATTGTGATGAAAGCACATGGTACAGGTAAACATCCCTAAGATCTTTAAAGGGAAATAATTATCATTGAGTTGTAATATCTTCAATATAGGGGTGGGGGTGTATACATATCTGGTCACACAAACATATACACACAACATAAACATGTATCTATATGTTTATGTAGACTCCATCTTTTTTTTTTTTTTTTTTTTTTTTTTACTGTCTCTTTTATAAAAATGGAACCTTTGCTTTTTTGTGGGAAAGGAAATAACTTCTACTTATTTTGAGGTCACTGGTTGGGATAGATGACAAGGCATTGCTTATAATTCTGAAAGCAGTGTTCATAAATTCACCTAGAGAGACGACCAGCAAATGGTAGTAGAGATTATAGAGGTAGCTAGTAGAGATTGTTAAGAATATTGTTTTTCTTAACAATATAATGTGGAACATTTTTCATAGCAACAGATATTTTTATACAATATAATTCTTAATGGTTATATAATATACCATTGAACAAATATTCTAAAATTTATTTAATTTATATCCCTTCTAAGTGGACAGTTAGTCGTTTCTGATTTTTTTTTTTTTTTTTTTTGCCTTTTTATTTTTCTGAGACCGGTTCTCACTCTGTTACCCATGCTGGAGTGCAGTGGCACAATTTTGGCTCACTGCAACCTCTACTTCCAAGTCTCGAGTGAGCCTCCCACCTCAGCCTCCCAAGTATTAATAGCTGGAGCTATAGGCGCAGGCCACCATGCCTGGCTAATTTTTGTATATATATTTTTTATTTTGAAGGGGTTTTGCCATGTTGCCCAGGCTAATCTCAAACTCATGACCTCAATCAGTCCTCCTCCCTCAGCCTCCCAAAATGCTGGGATTACAGGTGTGAGCCACCACGCCCAGCCATATTTTTGCTTTTATGATACCAAAAATATTCTTATAGCTCTGTATTAGTTGCCATTACAAATGATTTCCTTAAGCTAATTTCTTAGCAGCAGACTGTTAAATGTGAGTCGTCAAGTTTTAAGGCTTTTGGTAACTTGTTGCCAAATTACTTTCCAATAAAGTCATACCAGTTTATATTTCCAGAGGCAGTTTATGAGAGTGTCTGCTTCATACAATTTTCCAATGCTGGGAATTTTGAAAACAAAAAGAGCTTTTGCTAACTGATTATGCAAAATGATGTTTCCATGTATTTGGAGTTTTTGGTGTTTGGGGGTCATTTGTTAGTAAATTGTGCTGTTTTGTAGAACCTTCGTCCATTAGACAGTAGCGTGCTTGAAACTTACCAGATTTCGACAGTTCAGAAATAATATTAAATCCAGAAGGAGTAGAAGGGTCCTCGGGAATTTTAAGTTCTTCCTTTCTGGCAAAGTATTTTTAGACAACTATGAAATCACTAGATAGCAATCATTTTTCAGTAGAAAGCATAGTTTTTCATTTCTTAAAATGAGCAAAAGTGTATTTAATAAGAACCCTTTATTAGACATGTATCTGAAGTTACACTGCTCATTGGTTTAAAAGTATGTATGTGTCTATATATGTATGGATGTATATATGTGTGTGTATATATATATATGTGTGTGTGTGTGTGTGTGTATATATATATATATATATATATATATATATATATGTCCAATATCGGGAACATGATTAAATATAACTGTTAGTGCCATATGATGCAAAAGCTGTAGATAAGATTGCAAGCTTCAGGCTTCCTGGGCTCAAATTCCAGCTCTGCTGTTTTCTCGAAGTGTGACATTGGGCAAGTTACTTTGCATGTAAAATTCGGATAATAATAGTACCCTTCTCCATTGGGTGTTGCTGCAGATAATATATGCAAAATGTCTAAAATGGTTGAAAATCCTATTTCAGAAGTATTTAATCATTTGAGAAAATGATCAGTATAGAAGTAAACAAATGTAAGGTATTGGCACAAACCGCAGTATAATCCTAATCTTGCAAAATTACTTTGCCTCTCTTTCCTCCCTCTTTTCATCCTCCTCTAGACTCTAAAAAAAAGAGTTTAGCATACTTCTGAATGACTTTAATTTGTATTAGTGGGGTAATCCCAGTCCTGGAGAGACTGCCTGATGGAAGTCTTCAAGTCAGAGACCTATTTTTCACGGAGCTTTGAAACCATGGCTGCCTGCATCACCTGGCTAGCGGCTCCCTTGGAGCAGCCGCTGGGTGAGAGCAGAGCTGCTTTCCAACCCAGGGCTGCCGAGCTCCTGTGGTACACCAAGTGCCTTGGGCACAGAGAGAGTCCCTCACCGTCTGGCACCATATGTGAGCTGCCCTAGTTGGCTCATCTCTTTCCGTCATTACTAAATAAGCTTCATTTCACTAAATAAGTGAAAGCGAAGGTAGATGAAGAGACCCCCCCCCCCCGCCCCCTCCTCCCGCCCCAGCTCTTAGGAAATGTGTGCTTTATCCTACAGATAGACGAACGGGAAGACTGTAAGGTTGTGAATCTCTTGACCCTCTGCCTCCATCGTAACGTTGAAAAGTGAAAGGAAAAGCGATCAAGGAATTATTTGGCATGAAGGGGACAAACAGAATGACTTGTGTGGCTTCAGCCACTGCTTTTCACCGGTTTCCCTGTAACGAGCTTGTGTTATGTGGACGCTCCATTCATTTTGGCCCTAATTTCTGGTCTAATTTGAACAGCCCTGTATTTCTCAGTAGAAGAGGAATATCTGAATTCCTAATTAAGACATGTTAGCTTAAGAATACCTCCTTAATGTGTCATAAATCATTTTCCTGTAAGCGATGATGAGGATGAATAAGAAAACAAAACTTGGATTTATGCACACATGTATGTTATTTCAACAAAATTAATAAGTTCATAGAGGGAGAGAGGACGACAAATGAGTTAGCAAATATAGGTCAGGGAAAGAGTTCATAATGTTCTGCCAGATTCTGATGAGGCACCTCGTGAGTGTAGGTAGAAGGCCTCACGTAACGGTAGTGGGAATGGTAATCACACTGCCATATGGAACATTTGGTATTTGAATAGCACTTAGCTTCCTCTGAAACTATGAAATTGATAGAGACTCAGGGAGGAAGGAAAGATTCTTTTGCAGTGGATCACTGGCTGGTGTGCAGAAATATAGACCTGCTGGTTATCAAGGGCTTACAGAATGAATGTCTCTGGGGGCGGGGCGGGAGAGTGGGGAATACTTAACCATATTAATTGTGCTGCGACCTCAGATTTGTGGTCAGCAGTTTTTGGTTGTGTTCGTATGCTACACGTGGTTGTCTAAACCATTTGTGCACTCATGTACAAGACCTCTCTACAAGACCAGGCCAAATCATTGTTGAAATGTCAATTTGCAAAGTCCCACGGGGACCTTGGGGTGCCTTACGATTTTGCCAGTACAAAGTTAAAGCACAACTTTTGACATGTGAGAAATGGAAACAATGTCTTTTATTTTAATCCCATTCATCTATCACTGATTTATTACTTTAGCAAAGGCCTTTCTAGGGGCCCCTGTGTTCTAGTATAGGGCTGGGCATTGAAGATAAGGGAGGAGAACAAGGTAGACAAGAGATGGGCCGTAACGGAGCTTACAGTCCTCAGGGAGATAGTCAACACTATGGTAACTGGCTTGAGTGAAGAGGAAAGATGAAGTGGGCCATTCTAAAAGGAGGCGTGGCATGCATCTGAAATTGGAAACTGGAGAAACCAATGGAGAAAGACTTGTTGATCTGGAAGGCATAGAACAGAAAGAACCAGAGAATCGTCAGGGACTGACAATGAGGTTGTGATTGTTGACAGCTGGACCAGGTTGAGAACTGAAGAAGGCAAGGCGAGAAGCGGACTGTCAGATGCCCGAGTGCACAGTTGCTAGGGCCAGTAAAGATGGTGGGGTTGCTGATCTCTCAATTTAGGTAATGTGAAAGATGCGTCTTATCGACAATCTATATCCTTAAGAAATTGTGAAATGAATCTTTTGTTTTTTATGACTAAACAAACATGTTAGAAAGATGGATGTTGCTGGGTGCGGTGGTTCACGCCTATAATCCTAGCACTTTGGGAGGCCAAGATGGAGGGAATGCCTGAGCTCAGGAGTTCAAGACCACCCTGAGCAACATGGTGAAACTCCATTTCTACTACAATACAAAAATCTAGCCTGGAGGTAGTGGTGTTTGCCTGTAATCCCAGCTACTTGGGAGGCTGAGGCAGGAGAATTGCTAGAACCTGGGAGGTAGAGGTTGCAGTGAGCCGAGATTGCACCACTGCACTCCAGCCTGGGTGAGAGAGCAAGATTCCATCTCAAAAAGAAAGAAGAAAGAAAGAAAGAGAGAGAGAGAGAGAGAAAGAAAGAAAGAAAAAAATTGATGCAACCCTGTCTTTATCAAAATATCAGTATGGTGATATTTTTATTAACTACGCAAAGGAAGAATTGAGATACACCAGAACACATTCACCTTATTGTCTTACCAACTATATCCTTTTTCTTGACCTACTATAATTCACCTTAGAGAGTGAAATTCATGATATAATTAATCCTACCTTTTTCTGCACACACATAATTAACTCTATTTAGTTAACTTTCAACAGATTTTAGGTTCCAGATCAGAATAGCCCCTCCGTTTGTCACATCTGACCTCTTTACTATCTGGTACCCTTCCACTCAGCATCGTTTGTGGGATTGTGGTTCTTCTCACCTTCCTCCCTCCATTCCTGGGTGCTTTTAGTGGTCTCTTAAATAACAGGATCTGCTCAGAGATTTCTTTTATCTCCTTAGGCCTTGACCTGCGTTTGGTAAAGGCTGTATTTTTAGCTTTGGATTTACTGTCTTTGGCAAACTTTTTTCTCTATCTTATTCCTCCCTAGTTAGCTGCTCTCTTCGGGGGCTGAGACATCCACCACGTACTCTACCCAGATGTTTTTTTCTTTCTTTAGCAACTCCAGTTTAGTTTCCCGTTTCACCCCCTGCTCCACATCCACGCATCCACGCACTCACCCAACACACACACACTGCATTATGGAACCACCGCGCCTGGCAACATCCATCTTTCTAACATGTTTGTTTAGT